ATCCAGAAATCTATCTATATGCAGAAAAGAAGCACAATTTTAGTTAAAAAAATATTAAATGTGCTAATTGGTATGATTGTAATGAGACAAAGAAACAACAACAACAACAACAAAAAAAAGCTGCCCTAAAGAATTTTGCTTTTTTTATTACTTAAAGTAAGGGTTAAAGTAATTTATATTAAAATGAACAAATGAATTACAAAGCCTCACTATTATTTTTGAAGAAAATGTAAACTTGCACTTATAGACTAGCATTATTTGTAGATTAAAAGAAAATATCATGTACTGTAGAGAGGTCAGAGGTGGGAAGTGATTAGTCATATTTACTCAGTTACATTGACCTTGTTAACATTTTAAAAAAATATGTAGTTTTAGGAGTAGTTTGAAAAGTTCAGGTTAGACAACTGGACATGAAGTCTAGAAGACTACAGTAGTGATGTTTATGGCAGCAACACAGAAATATATGGTGGAACAAAACTGTAGGTTTATTGGCTGAAAACAGAGAGACGTGACAATGAGGAATCCAGCCTGCCTGTGAAGGCAAAGACCTTTTAGATATAAAAACTTTGTTATACTAAATAAAGGCTGAATACATTGCATACTATGGGCCAGATTTATCAAGATCTAATTTTGAGTGTAGTAATTTGCGCTCGCAGACTGGAGGGGCTGAACCATGGTTTGCGGGTGATTTAACAAGAGTGATTGCGTAACTGGTGGAAGGGCAAAACTGTTGGAGACACCCCATTTAAATGATGGTTTTGCGTGTTTTGTGGTTTGCGGGAAAGTAGTTTGTAGTTTGTACAAACTGGTGCATTAAGAAATTTAAATCTTATAGTGACCCCCAACAAAAAAAAAAAAAAAAAAAAAAAAAAATATATATATATATATATATATATATATATATATATATATATATATATATATATATATATATATAAAAAGAAAAACTTTGGAAAAAAAAAAAACTGGTGTTTTGTATTGGCCTGTAGAAAAATGCACATACCAAATGGCTCACAAAAAGTGACTGTGGATGAGATTACTGCGCGTACCCATCCCCGCTGCATTGGCATGTTGCTCCACTGGCGCAGGGGGGAGGTCTGGTTTCTCCATTAGGGCGTCAGGGCGACATTGCATTTAGAATGTCAGACAGCACTTCTGAAAAACTAGATTGGGAGATCTAATGTTGCAAGGAGTTTTATGATATCTGGTATTGCGTGGGTCCTCCTTGTGGCTGGCTCCAAATCCAGTTCCCCCAACAGCTCCAAAATATCAATGCTGGATAAACGATATGTTTTGATCGTTTCCTCGTTCATTCCAAAAATATTCACACGGAGTGAAAAAATGCGTTCTCTGCGTCTCCTTGCTTCATTTCGATGTCTCCTTCTTGCGACAATAACCACTGCCATGTGTGCGCAATTACTTATACAGACCATTTGCTATGAGGTGTCCCCAGGGACATAAATCAGAATTAACCTGCATATACACATATTAAATTACACTCTTCCATATAATATACTGAAAACCTCACACAAACACTAGTAAAAAGCTCTCACATAAACTAGTGAAAACATTTACCTCTTATATAATCTACTCAAAAGCTCTCATACAAAGTAGTGAGAACTGTTCATATAAACTGGTGAAAAGCTTTACCTTTCATACACACTACTAGAAAGCTTTCATATACACTATTAAAAAGCTCTCATATACACTACTAGAACGCTCTCATATACACTATCAGAAAGCTCTCATATACACTATTAGAACGCTCTCATATACACTATTAGAACGCTCTCATATACACTATTAGAAAGCTCTCATATACACTACTAGAAAGCTCTCATATACACTATTAGAACGCTCTCATATACACTATTAGAAAGCTCTCATATACACTATTAGAACGCTCTCATATACACTATTAGAAAGCTCTCATATACACTATTAGAACGCTCTCATATACACTATTAGAAAGCTCTCATATACACTATTAGAACGCTCTCATATACACTATTAGAAAGCTCTCATATACACTACTAGAAAGCTCTCATATACACTATTAGAACGCTCTCATATACACTATTAGAACGTTCTCATATACACTACTAGAAAGCTCTCATATACACTACTAGAAAGCTCTCATACACACTACTGAAAAGCTATTAGCGGATTTCAGTTGAAACGGAAGGTGTTTCAGTGAAACAGGAAGGACCGTCATTACACCGGAAGTTGTTTTAAACGGAGGTCATTCTGGCTAGCTCCGTACATTTTGTGCTATCTCCGGCCAAAATTGTATCAAATAAAATTATTGATTCATGCTCAGCTATCCGCTAAACAACTCACAGAAGCATGGGCATTACTCGACTTTATTTTTTATGTTTTTGCTTCAACAGAGATCCTTTTCCGGTGTTGTGCGAAATTCTATTCCCATGTGAAAATCTGTTCCGCCTGTGTCGGGAGCGCGCCGCGCATTGCAGCCAAATAAGCGGATCTGATCATTTCCCAGGCCTTTCGGATCATTTCTTGGTTAAATAAAAAGTCGTAAAATTATACAAGGTTGAGACATTTAGTTTAATCAGCCGCTGTTGTTTACAAAATTGTAAAATAAAAAAAATAAATGCGGTTTTCTTATGCTGTTTTGTGTTGTTATTTTAAACGCCAAGAGAATCAGTCTCTTTCCAAGTTTTTTCACTTCAGCCTGACAGAAATAAAAGTCAAGTCACCAAATACCAAATTTGTATTTATAATTTTTTATTACTGATATAAGAAGATGGGAAGTGCCTGATAGCAGTTCCATAATATGGAAACAAATTAATTTAGCTGCAAATCTTAAACTGTGTTTATTCCTCTCTTCATCAACAACAAACCATCTGGATTTGGTGATATTTGAGCAATGTTTGCCTAAATTAAAGGAGGGGGACCATATATTTTAGCTTTCTAATAGTGTGTATGAGAGCGTTCTAATAGTGTATATGAGAGCTTTCTAATAGTGTATATGAGAGCGTTCTAATAGTGTATATGAGAGCGTTCTAATAGTGTATATGAGAGCGTTCTAGTAGTGTATATGAGAGCTTTCTAATAGTGTATATGAGAGCGTTCTAATAGTGTATATGAGAGCTTTCTAATAGTGTATATGAGAGCGTTCTAATAGTGTATATGAGAGCTTTCTAGTAGTGTATATGAGAGCTTTCTAATAGTGTATATGAGAGCGTTCTAATAGTGTATATGAGAGCGTTCTAGTAGTGTATATGAGAGCTTTTTAATAGTGTATATGAAAGCTTTCTAGTAGTGTGTATGAAAGGTAAAGCTTTTCACCAGTTTATATGAACAGTTCTCACTACTTTGTATGAGAGCTTTTGAGTAGATTATATAAGAGGTAAATGTTTTCACTAGTTTATGTGTGAGCTTTTTACTAGTATTTGTGTGAGGTTTTCAGTATATTATATGGAAGAGTGTAATTCAATATGTGTATATGCAAGTTAATTCTGATTTATGTCCCTGGGGGCACCTCATAATTTGCACCTTCTTTTGAAACGTGTTAAATATAGAGTCAGATACCGTTAGCAAAATTGCTTTCAGGTTTGATAAATCACTTTGCGAGTGCTAAATTAATATATTTACATGTTCTCCTCCCACAAGACGCACTTTTGCGTGTAAACGCCCCATATTGCATATTCATTGCAGAAAAAGTACTAAATTGATAAGAGGCGCTATTTAGCACGTTTTAAAGACCAAATCCTTTTAGCACGCTGTTGATAGATCAGTTTGTACATTTTTTAGCGTGAGCAGTGAAATAGCTCACGTTTTTATACATGCAAACCTTTGATAGATCCGGCCCAGAGTGTATAAAAAAATTGATTTCATTCAGTACAGCTCTCAAGACATTTCCGTTTTTAAAGTGCAGCGTTGATAAAATGTAAGCAGCAGTGATAAAATGTAAACATGGTGAACAAATGTAAACATAAGACTGGTATATGACTTACATTCAGCGCCTTTTTGTTTTTTCTTAAAACCCATTTTTTACAACATTCCACAGTCTATTTGCAGTGGGGGAGAAGCTGTTCTGGGATCTGCTGGACCAGAAAGCAGCAGGGAGAACAGTCCATGGTGGGGGTGTTTATTAGGGGTCATTTATAATGTCATGAGTTCTAGACACAGTGCTGGGATCAAATGTCTTTTATTAAGGGCAAGTGGACCTCCAATGATCCTCTCTACAGTTCTAACATCGACTCATTGACTCGAAGGTAATCCCTCACATCAAACATGCTTGTAGCAACAGTGGAGAGGAAAAATTCCCTTTTAACAGGAAGAAACATCCAGCAGAACCAGGCTCAGTGTGAGCGGCCATCTGCCGATATCACCAAGTGGAAACACTATTTGGCTTGTGTTCAGAAAGTCTTCTGTTAAGTTGATTTTTACCCAACTCAACAAAGTGATGAGAAATGCAGGTGAATCTTTCAGTTTCGTGAAAACATTTTAATGAATAAAAATGAGATATATTTATAATTGTATGAAATATCAAACTGTATTTGTTTAAAGGGTGATTACTATCACTTAAAACATAATAATATAACATCGAGAAACCAAAAGGTTGAATAAATAGGTTGTGCTTGATTAGTAAAATTGTAATCATGTCATGATGATCAGTTTGTTTAAAAAGTGCATTAAAACTGAATAATTTTAAACACGACCTGCTGTATTTTTAATTTGGCTTAAAGTTAAAGGGGAGGCCAAGAAAAGAATTAAATCAAAATAAGAAATCAGTATGAATGTATTCTTCCACCAATAAATGATGAAACAAAAAAATGCCAGTTTTATGTAATACTGCCAGAGATACTTGTTGTAGTGTCAAAGAACGTCACATTTGCAATATGGTGCTAAAACTCCACTCTGATTGGCTATTGTTTCATTATGCAAATACAAAGTTAAGTTCTGTTGACATGAAATGATGCTACCTATCAAAGATGAACAAAAACTTTCATTGGATCACCCTCAAAACCAACATGTTCCCCTTAGCTCTGCTGTTGCTGATGGCTGCTGGATCCTGTGAGTCTCAAGGGGATGGAGGCATCTCTAGCCTGATCACACTACATTGATGGATTATTGTTGTTAACAGTTAACTTTTAATGTCTTCCACAGGTGTGAAGTGTGAACAGCTGACACAGCCAGCCGCTATGTCTGTGCAGCCAGGTCAAAGTCTCACAGTTGACTGTAAGGTCTCTTATGATCTGGGCTACTGGACACACTGGATCAGGCAGCCTGCTGGGAAAGGACTAGAGTGGATTGGATATACATGTAGCGGATGCACTCCAATCTACAAAGATTCTTTAAAAAACAAGTTCCGCTTTACCGTAGATTCTTCCCGTAAAACAGTGACTCTGAATGGACAGAATCTACAGCCTGAAGACTCTGCTGTGTATTACTGTGCAAGACAAGACCACAGTGACACAAACAAGCAGCAGAGCTGTACAAAAACCTATTAGAGACTGAACACCTGCAGCATGAAGCCGACAGAGGGAGAGCTCTAAATCTACAGATAAGTTAAAGGCTAGTTTAATTTAGGTGAAGTCACAGTCAGCTATTACTTATTCAAAAATTATCAGTTTGTCTGGTTTGTAAGAAAGTCAGAATAAATGTAGTTTTGGTTTAAAAATGACTTACTACTAAATAAAGTGAGTAGTAACAAAGAAGGATAAGGGATCAGTGAACTCTGGAAAGGTGTAAGCTAAGAAAAAGGCACCATCTTGATCTTGGAGTTAGTACTCAGTGCATTCTAATGGATAAAATTTGAATTTTGTCAAGATTAAGGAAACCCCAGAAAATCTACTAATGTTTGTCACCGACTTTACGATCTATCACATATCAGTGACAACCATACTGCAGGATGAGCAGAGACCACTTACTTATATAGTTAATAAACCTGAGGTTTTGATCCTTTTTTTCCTTATTGCATTTATTAAAATTGATAAATAAGATACAAAAAAGCAGAACTAAACAATATTAATACCTGAAAGCAGCCCACAAGCGGTGAATTTGGATGACACCAAAAAAGTATGCAGAAAGACATGGGATCCATTTTAGAAAGCAGGTTTACTGAAAACTCCAAGTTTTTTAAACCTGACAAAAGGGAAAGTCTGAGTTTTCTGTTTCACAAAGACAGTTTCCTCAACCTTTGTTTCAGCCAACATAGTAACATTCTCCCCACAGCTAACCTGGTCGGAAGCAGGTTTTCTTCAGTAAACTTGGAATGTCCACTGTCTCTGCTCTCATTACAGCATACCAAGTTGTTTTATTTTCTGATTTAGTCGAACTTTTGTCGTAGTTTTGTGCATAGAAAAAAATCATTAACTAGGTCTGTTAGTCACATTAGGTTTTTAAAACAAACATTGCATGTCAGTTTGACAGCAGGATTAAATATTTATAGGGAGAGGATTCCACAACTAGGATGTGAGATTTATTTGTTTTTGGTTAAGTTTTTTTGAGTGACGTGGATAATTATATTTTTATTCATTTATTTTTAAATTTCAGATTACACATGGGTAATTAATTCCACTTATAACCTAACCAATTACAATGATTTTATTTAAATTTTTGGGATGATAACATATGAAGCAGCTGTAAAAACAGCCTCTTTGTGAAATCGAAGACAGAATCAAACTGAGAACCCATGACATGATGGACAGGTTCCATTTATTAGAACAACGTTTTAATGATTCATCTTCACCTGCTGAAAAATTATTTCACCTAAAAAGATACACTGATCCACTACCATTCAAGAAATAAACTTGTAATGTTATCATGATCACAACAGGCAAGTCGTTTTGATATGTATTAGTATTTCTGAATATGTATTTCCTATCTGAAAAAAAAAAAAATCTTTTTCCTTGTCAAAATCATCATTTCAAACAAAATGTCATTCTTCACGTCTAGAATAAACCTTCTGGAAGTCCTGAAATTATTTTCAGATTTCCATATTCCTATTGTTACTGGTCAGAATTTTTTTTATTTTGACAATGAAGAAATGTATTTCAGATATCATAAATACATATTCAGTCAAGTCAGAATAGCCACTTAAAATGTGTAAACATTTCTAGGTATATAAAACTTAATTCGTATTAGTATAATTTATTTTGTTTTTTATTTTCTGAAATTCGCTTTCTGTTAGAAAAATGTGATTTAGAAAATGTATTATTATAGTTCAGACTAGGAGTGTTGCTGGGAGTCTTGCTTCAATGGCCCAGTCAACCCTACATGGCAACTTCCCAAGAACTGGCAACTCAAAAGAAAAGTATTAATTTAAAGTAAACAATAAACACAAAATGTGGCAAAAAGAATTACCAGACCACTTATTGTGGGCTGCACATGCTGCCATCACAGTTTGTTAACAGGATCAATTGAAAATTTATGAATGGATTTTATGGACATATATATATATATATATTTTTTTTTTTTTTCCCCAGGTGACCCTCATACCAAAGAACGAGTCAATGATACAGATCATTTTTGAGTTTTAGCTGTAGGTGTTAAGTCACAATATGGTGCGAGTTTCTATTAAAATTTCTATATACGGTACCAGAAACTTTACATGCTATATATTAAGTTCATGGTGAGCAAGTTGATCATTGAGTGGAATACCGCTTTTTGATTGACAGCCAATGCAGCTTAATTTACGAAATTATCAGAGATAATGTACTTTTTTTTTTTTTTTGCTGTTGAATCTTCTTAATCTGACCCAGCAGGACTTTGTCTCAATGTGAGGGAAATGATTACAGAAATAAAAAAATGTGGCTCATTCCTGGACATATCAGCACATCTGAGCTTGCAAAGTCTGATGTAATTGGTGTGACCCGGCATTAATGGTTTTTAGGAGGCCATGTCATGGATACATTTGGGAAAGAGGGCTTTATACTGCAATCTGAAACCAACAAGGGATATAGTCAATAAAAGAAACAAGTCATTTTAAATATTAAGATTTGCTTTTATATCTTTAAGTCAATTTTATTCAAAATCCAACTGAGATTTGCAATCCATCAGTTTCAACTGACTTTAGCATACAGTAAAAGAGGCAAAACAACAATGTAAAGGTTTGGTTGAGGTCTTAAGGTCCCAAATGCAGAGGCAGGGAGGCAGAGGGGAGTTCTTGTAGTTTTAATGGAGTGTTCACAGGTAACAGATGCAGAAATCCAAAAATCCAACTTAAAAATGCAAGACAAATCAGAAACATGGAGACATCATGGAAGACTTGCACAAGAAGCCAGGAAAAGATGAGGAACCAGCAACGAGGAAATCTACAGTGAGAGTACTTATGGCTGACTGAACAAAGAAACGACTTACGAGCTGATTGGGAGCAGGTGTGAACAGAGGCTTATAAAAAGGAGCTTGGCAAAAGGGGACCAATACAAGAGTGCAACAGAGGGCAACAAAGAAAAACCTAAGAACGCAAGTACATCCAGAAAAAACAAAATAGGAGTTAAACCAATAAAAATAGAAAACAAAGAAAAACATGAATCAACGTGAAACTGAAAACTCAAAAAGAGCTTAACAGAACCAAGACCTTGACAAACACAAACTATCTGCTAAAGTGTATAAAATATTGGCTTCTATACAAATGCATTATCATTTATTAGTCTGAAGAGATGCTCAGAAACCATCCATGAACTCTGAATATATTTTGGTGTGATGCAAACTGGAAATTAAAATTTTTGTATTGTCTTATTGCGTTTTCTGCATTCATTTGTGGTTAACATGAGAAAAATGTCCAAGTACAAAACTGAATTAATCTTTTGAAGATGGTATAAAAACATTATCAAGAGATCCAGTTGATATCCATGCCACATATGGACATGTAAAATATGATTCCTTTTTAAGTCTATTGTTATCGCTTGTGATTTTTAAAAAAAATCTTGCTATATTAACATTTTTTTTTTATCTTTTTTGAAGAAATAAACATCAGATTCCCTTTGCAAATTCAAGCTGAGTTTTAGACAACTAAACACGACAGACATTTCATGGTTCTTCTTAAGAGACATATTGTTGCAGCTTTCTCTATGCAAAAAAAATGTAATGTTTACAATCATAAAATGGTAAAATACCATAAAAGCTTTTTGTGTTTGATCTGTTTTTCTTCACGCAAATTCCATTTTTATTTCAAGAAATTTTCTCATGCTGTAACTCAGACAGAAGCAGAATCTTTGCTGTTGCAGTTTTGTCCTTCATTAAGTGTGCTCAATTAAGTGCTTTTCCCAAGTGGGGTCGCGAGGGGTGCTGGTTCCTATCTACAGCTGTCTATGGGCGAGAGGCGAGGTACACCCTGGAAAGCTCACCAGTCCATCGCTGTAAAAAAAAAAAAAAATATATATATATATATATATACATATATATATATATATATATATATATATACATATATATATATATATATATATATATATATATATATATATATATATATATATATATATATATATACAGTATATATATATAGATATATATAGATATATATAGATATATATATAAAGTTGAACCTTTGATAGAAAAAGGAAATATAGAATGAATTAAACAGTGCAAGAAAAACAAAATACTGGTATTTGACCTCAACAACAATGCAATTTAAATCCCATCTTCCCATCAGTCAGCATTTTTTACTATAAAGTCAGGTTAACATATGACCATTACCTGCAAACTCTCTTATTCCATGACCAGCTTTGCAATATTCAAGATCAGATCACCTGAAGGGAAATAATTATTGCAAATTGCACATGCAATAAACACACCAGTCAACAAAAATTCTGCAAAAGAAGAGTTAAACATTGGTGTATTCTTCCACCTACATATAGACTCTGTCCCCTACCTAAAGACTTGGCTGTGTTTTAATGTGCAGAGCAACAGAACAAAGACAGACAAAAAAACACAGAGCTGTTCAAAACACCCATAAGGTTTAAACAGCTGTAGCTCAAAGCCACCAGTGGGGGAGCTTTAACGCAACAAATAGAATCAAGGCCATTTCTCTCTTTTCTTCAATGTAGAATTTAATTCAGTAAAAACTTGGTTCATTTTGTTAAGTTTACTAAATCTGATAAACTTGTATTACATCCATTACATCTATCAAAACTAAAATTAGTCATTGTGGTCAAACCATCGTGTTAGATATTCCTTTAACATTATTGTAAAATTTTGTTTTCCTTTGAATGTCATTGATGTTCTTATAAAAACTGTAAATAAACACTGACTTGAAAGTAGAGAAAAAAAAAACAATAAACCTTTTACATTTTTTTTTATTATTTTAACGGTGGAAACTTTGTTAAATATATTTTCTGGCAAACCTGTCAATAAATGTATGACATTAAAAATATCTATTCAGATCCAGAAAAAATATGTTGCTTGGTAAAAAGTTAGGAGACTTTTGCTTCTTAAAGTTTAATAGAAATGCAAACGTCAGATTTAAGGCCTTCCACTCTATGCCTGCCTTCTTTATTAAAGGGAAAAGCTTCATTTACACATTTAGAATCAAGATGATGGTCAGACTGTCTGTTTTGCTGACAGTGATCTGTCTGCCTTGTAAGTCATTAGATCTGTTAATTTTATTAGTCATTTATTGAATTCATGTCTATTTATCCATTATTCTTTGTCAGGTTCTAGCGGCCAGGCCCTGGAGTCCATTCCTTCCACCAATATGGTGAAAAACCCTCAAGAAGTTCTCAGCCTTTCTTGTAGAGGATCTGGATTTGATTTCAGTCGTTATGTCATGTACTGGATCAGACAACCAGCAGGAAAATCACTGGAATGGATGGGTGGTATCTCCAATGATATGAGTGACACAATATATGCCAGCAGTGTTGATGGACGTATAGAAATCAACAGAGACAACAGCAATAGCATGGTGTATTTAAAACTGTCAAACCTGAAAGCAGAGGATTCTGCTGTTTATTACTGTGCTAGAGAGTACACAGTGGTTAGAGTGAGTGCAGGAGATGTACAAAAACAGCTCATAGCACAAAATGTGATCATGTTAGTACAGGAACAAATACTGAACACCCTGTTAAAAACCATAAATAATGGTGTGGTTTATGGTTTCCTGTGTAGTATGATTTGTCAACATGTGTTTCAACAGAAGAATTGATTGTATTTCTATTTCTTTCTAGAGCAGTCTTTAATCAGTACATTTAGTGTCAATCTAAATACATAAACCTTTTTTTTTTACGGGATTTTTTTTTTCTTTCTCAAAACATCCTCATGTTCTTAATATCACACCTTTAACAATTATACTATTCTGCTAAAAGAAATACGTAAATTACAAAATGTGATGCTACAAATCAGTGTAGTTTTGGGTTTCAGACTAAATAAAGACTGAAATTAGGAATTAAGAGTTCAAATAAACTGCTAATTTGCTATTAATTCACATCAACATACATAGAGATATTTAATGCGCACTTTCATCTGGTTTGGTCTGCCGGCTTCCGTAGCGTCGTGAACGCGCACACTTTCAGGAAATCCTATACACTACTGTTTATGCTCTAAAAACATTCTAAATGACTTTGTTTCGAGTAAATTCTGGACCATACCCACTCAGGACACTTGGAATACATTGGACGAGCAGTATGGAGGAATATTGACACGTTTTTTGTGGACTTTTATGGACCTTTCTGTCTCGGGCACCATAGACCTCCATTATTTGAATGTCAGCAGACAGCAAGAAGCCTCCCAGATCTCCAGATGCATTTGAGATATCAAAAAAGTACTCCAGAGTGTTGTTCAGCATGGGGGTGAGTAGAAAATGAAGGCTAATCATGTTTTGGGTGTACTATTCCTTTAAGGAAAACTACATAATTACATTGAATCATAACTTTGCTGGACATGCCCTTCCTGGATGAGCATGTGGTGACAGTAGATATTCACTTGCATTGTGCCTTTGAGTCCACAGTACTCCCTAAAACTGAGTATGCATGCAGTGAGATTCAAGAGATAAAAACTTGTTTTAGAAGTTTAAAAGACCTAAGATCCATAGCAACTCAGTGAGAACCACGTCTCACTGATTAAGGACAAATAGCTTCTATCATTATCTGACCTGAGGTTGTCGGGTGCAATGAATCTTCTTAAGTGAGAAATGCAGAATTATTAGAGTTTAATCAATGATGAGCTGTCTGTCTGTAGGTACTGAGAGTTAAACACTAACAGAATCAAAACAATGCTAAACTGCCCGTCCAATCAAACATTCCTACTTATGTTCATCCTTTTCTTCTCCTGAAGCAGAGAGTAAGGGCTTTGTTTATGCTCCTAGTTTCCAGATAACAGTCAATTTAATTTTGTTACACTATAAAAAAAAAACAAAAAAACTAAGCAACGTATAAAAACAATAACTAACGGTTTGTGATTTATAGTTCCCAAGTAGAAAGGTGGTGTATTGCAAGTAATGTGTTCTTTTTGCCCTGTCTGGCGATGTAGCATAAGAATATTTGTCTTGATGCCAAAAAGAAAGCCCAGCAGATTTTGCTTTCACAAGTGGAGCAGTACGGCTATCGCCATAGTGTTCCGCTTGATTTATGCATATAAATAGCTTTATTATCATTCATGCAGGGAGTATTTCAGATTATATGGATGCTGCAATGTAAGTGGAACAGGAAAGGAAAAACAGAAAAAAAGGAGAAAAGGTGAAAGAAAGAGGAGATAAAAGGGAGATAATTATAAGACATCTTCAGTCTGCTTCATCACCTGCAAAGAGATGTAAAAAGAACTGCACATCAAATGGATATAGTATAAGAGATGTTGTTGAGCTGCTACTACTGCCTCCAGCTCCTGATGCACTAGCTTCTCCTGGCATAAGGGAGGAAAAGGACGAAGCAGATGATTGATGTTGCAGCTTTTGTATTTGCATTGCAGCTTTTGTATTTGTGTTGCAGCTTTTGTTTTAGTGTTGACACCTCTGGGCCACTGTATGATCTTCTAGACGTATGCTTTGAATGTATTCTGCCTGAAAAACTAAAATAAAAATATAGTATAAATCGACAGAGAGGTTTAATAGTATGAAAGTAATCTGTGACTGGTCTGCCCCTCATTATGCAAATCCAACCTTCTAATTTAAAAGGCTGGATCTTATGCAGTGAGTCAGAGGAGAAGCTTTCATTGGATCATCAACATGTTCTTTGTAGCTCTGCTGATGCTGCTGGCTGCTGGATGTGAGTTTCATCGAAATGGTGGAATTATGATCACAGTATACTCTTATTAAAATCCCTATTTTAAGTCATGTGATGTTGTCATTAACAGGTGTGAAGTGTGAGCAGCTGACTCAACCAGCCTCTATGTCTGTGCAGCCTGGTCAGACTCTGACCATCAGCTGTCAGGTCTCATATTCTGTCACCAGCTATCACACACACTGGATCAGACAACCTACAGGAAAAGCACTGGAATGGATGGGTGTTATTTGGACAGATGGAAACAAGGCATATGCCAGCAGTGTCCGAGGACGTATAGAAATCACCAGAGACATCAATAGGAAAACATTGCACCTGAGACTGTCCACCATGAAACCAGAGGACTCTGCTGTTTATTACTGCGCCAAAGAAACACAGTGGTTAATAAAAGCAGAGAGGCTGTACAAAAACTCCCAGAGCAGAAAACAGGAGTTACATCAGCACACAATAACTAATGTGGTTTTTGGTAATTTCCTGTTTTTCCAACACCCTGCCAACAGTTTGTCATCCTCAACAGATGTGTATAAGAGAATCTGTACTAGTGTTTTGTAACAGGTTATATGTATATATTTATTTACTTGACGACTCAATACTCAGCAATATGGCAAGAATACAATCAACAATATATTTATATAGAATAAAAAAAAATCTTCAAAGTTGTTTTTTGTATAGCCAACTCAACTTTACTGTCCATACTTTACATCTATATTTTATTGGGTTTGAATTGTCTGCACTGAAAAAAACAATTTTACAAAGGTACAAATAACAAATATAATATACAAGCATGTTAAAGGTAAAGACTGTGTGACCATCTCCAATCAGCTTGATGTTCCTGTGACTACAGTTGCACATATTCAAAAACTTAAGATCCATGGCAGAGTAGCATGTGGCTTCAGGGAGGTTGAAACATAAATAAAACGATAACATGAATAGTAATGAGTGAGCCCAGAAAAACTTCTAAAGAGATTAACGATAAACCTCAAGCTCAAGAAAAATCAGTGTCAGATTGGACCATCTCTGGTTGTTTGAGCAAAAGTGGACTTAATGGGAGAAGAACAAGGACATCTTTGTTTAAAACAAATCATAAAAAATCCAGAGAACTATATTCCAAACTGCTTGTTGGCAAGCCACAAAGCTACTCAGAGAATGTTTTATGGGCAGATGAAACAAGAAATTACTTTTTGCTAAGTCACATCAGCTCCATCTTTACAGATGGAAAAAAACCCTTGCCTGGCCTCCTCCATGTTTTACTGAACCCTACAGTGAAACATGGAGGAGGCCCCATTATGCTTTGCTTCATCTGGTACAGGGTGTCTTGAATCATTTCAGGGTTCAATGAAATATCAAGACTATCAAGGGATCATAGAGAGAAATGTCCTGCTCAGTGTCACAAAGCTTGGCCTCAGTTGCAGATAAAAGAACTTCAACAGCATGATGACCCAAAACACAGATACAAAAAACTATCACTGCTAAGAGGAAAACAATGGACTATTATGAAGTGACCTTCTATGAATCCTGACATAAATCCTTTAGAACATCTTTGGAAGGAGCTAAAATAAGATGTTTCGAGTTTTAGGCAGTTTATTCCTGGGGAGAGGGCTAAAATACCAACTGAAAGGAGCAGAAATCTCACTGACAGTTTAAGGAGTCAGTGGAGTGCAGTTATTGCCTGAAAAGGTTGTGGAACAAAATATTAAATTTAGTATACCATACTTTCTGTCTGGGCCTGTTTGATAAGTTCCTGTTAAATCATTCTATTCTATTCTATTCTATTCTATTCTATTCTATTCCTATCATTCTGTTGAATCAAGATGGAAAAGCAATGTCTGACATTCATTTGTTAATTTCAAACAAATTTTATAGTCAAGTTATTTCTATGACCATTGTGGGGTTTTCTTTAATTATTTTACTAATAATAATTTTGACCACGTCCAAAAATTGTGCAATTGAATTTAAAATCAAAAAGAATAATTGGAATGTATCTAGAGTTAAGTAATTTAGATTATATAGCTAATCAAATTAACAATGTATCATGTAAATACACCAAATATTCATATTCTGACATGATTTCTAGCCCCCAAGATACATTACATTGAGCAAACAAACAACAAAAATGCTTTTTATACCGCCTTTCACGGTGCTGTTCCTGTTTGGCCTCCTTCCAGTTAACATTTTGGCTGAGATCTCTCATCTAAAGACCACATTTATGTCTTTGCTGCATTCTACCCTTGGAGGTAGCAGATATTACTCTAAAACGGGCCGAGGCAGGTTTATAGTGTCAACAATGGGTGGTGAAGTTGCTTTGAGGACCCAGATGCAGAGACAAGAGAAGCAGGGATGTGTTCTGAAAGGTTTAATTGAAGACCAAAAAGCAGCCGAGGCAGAAATCCAGAAATCCAACTCAAAATATGAAACAAACCAAAATCATGGAGACATCAGGGTAGAGACGAGCCGAGTAGACAACACAGCAACAAGAAGGAACCAGAACTGAGTGACTGCAGAGGTGGAGTATTTAAGGACAACCAAACAAAGGATGGACTAACGAGCTGAATGGGGAGCAGGTGTGGGTGGAACTGGCAAGAGGGAATCCAAGGGAAAAGAAAACAATCACAAGGGGGCAACAGAGAGTAACTAAAGAATGCTTGAAGATAATGGAAAATAAAAACAAAACAACTGATAACAGAAAACTCAGAGTAACCACAAATAGGAACCATAACAGTACCCCCCCCTCAAGGGCGGATACCAGACGCTCTTGGAGCCCAAACACAAAACAACCCACCCAGGGTGGGCGGAAGGGGAAACCAGGAGGGAGGGCAAGAAACACAAAACAAAACAACCCACCCAGGGTGGGCGGAGGGGGAAACCAGGAAGGAGGGCAAGAAACACAAAACAAAACAACCCACAAAAGGTGGGCGAGGGCAACCTAAAGTCTCTAGAATTCAGCCGTGTGGCTGGGGAGGAGAAAGAGCCTCTGGAGGCCGGCCGTGTGGCCGGAGGCGAGGTGACAGAGTCTCTGGAGGCCGGCCGTGGGGCCGGAGGCGAGGTGACAGAGTCTCTGGAGGCCGGCCGTGGGGCCGGAGGCGAGGTGACAGAGTCTCTGGAGGCCGGCCGTGGGGCCGGAGGCGAGGACGAAGGTGGGCCTCTGGAGGCCGGCCGTGGGGCCGGAGGCGAGGACGAAGGTGGGCCTCTGGAGGCCGGCCGTGGGGCCGGAGGCGAGGACGAAGGTGGGCCTCTGGAGGCCGGCCGTGGGGCCGGAGGCGAGGACGAAGGTGGGCCTCTGGAGGACGGAGGAGAGCCTCTGGAGGACGGAGGAGGGCCTCTGGAGGACGGAGGAGGGCCTCTGGAGGACACCGGTGACACTGTCTCTGAAGAAGGGGAACCCTTGGAGAGGGACGCCGTCTCAAACTCAGACTCTGCAGGAACCTTGGGGGACGCCGTCTCAGACGCAGATTCTGCAGGAACCTTGGGGGACGCCGTCTCAGACGCAGACTCTTCAGGAACCTTGGGGGACGCCGTCTCAGACGCAGACTCTGCAGGAACCTTGGGGGACGCCGTCTCAGACGCAGACTCTGCAGGAACCTTGGGGGACGCCGTCTCAGACGCAGACTCTGCAGGAACCTTGGGGGACGCCGTCTCAGACGCAGACTCTGCAGGAACCTTGGGGGACGCCGTCTCAGACGCAGACTCTGCAGGAACCTTGGGGGACGCCATCTGCGGCACAGGAACAGCCTCAGAGGGGGCCGCCGACTGCGGCACAGGAACAGCCTCAGAGGGGGCCGCCGACTGCGGCACAGGAACAGCCTCAGAGGGGGCCGCCGACTGCGGCACTGGAACAGCCTCAGAGGGGGCCGCCGACTGCGGCACTGGAACAGCCTCAGAGGGGGCCGCCGACTGCGGCACTGGAACAGCCTCAGAGGGGGCCGCCGACTGCGGCACTGGAACAGCCTCAGAGGGTGCTTGGAGCGCCCGCTGAGGGGTCGTGGAGGCTTGGAGTGCCCGCTGAGCTTTATTTTAGAGAGCCTTTTACTTGTGTGCTCAGGGATATCAGGATGACTCTGAGCGGGCTCAGGGGTCCCAGGCGCTAGGCTAAACGGCCCGCTAATGGCCACAGGAGTCTCAGGTGCTAGGCTAAACGGCCCGCTAATGGGCTCAGGAGTCTCTGGCGCTAGGCTAAACGGCCCGCTAAAGGGCTCAGGAGTCTCTGGCGCTAGGCCTAACGGCCCGCTAATGGGCTCAGGAGTCTCTGGCGCTAGGCTAAACGGCCCGCTAATGGGCTCAGGAGTCTCTGGCGCTAGGCTAAACGGCCCGCTAAAGGGCTCAGGAGTCTCTGGCGCTAGGCTAAACGGCCCGCTAAAGGGCTCAGGAGTCTCTGGCACTAGGCCTAACGGCCCGCTAAAGGGCTCAGGAGTCTCTGGCACTAGGCCTAACGGCCCGCTAATGGGCTCAGGCACTGGGGGAGCTGCCCCGCTAATGGGCTCAGGCACTGGGGGAGCTGCCCCGCTAATGGGCTCAGGCACTGGGGGAGCTGCCCCGCTAATGGGCTCAGGCACTGGGGGAGCTGCCCCGCTAATGGGGACTGGAGCTAGGGAAACAGGACCGATAATGGGGACTGGAGCTAGGGAAACAGGACCGCTAATGGGGACTAGAGCTAGGGAAACAGGACCGCTAATGGGGACTAGAGCTAGGGAAACTGGAACGCTAATGGGGACTGGAGCTAGGGAAACTGGACCGCTAATGGGGACTGGAGCTAGGGAAACTGGACCGCTAATGGGGACTGGAGCTAGGGAAACTGGACCGCTAATGGGTTCTGGAGCTAGGGAAACTGGACCGCTAATGGGTTCTGGAGCTAGGGAAACTGGACCGCTAATGGGTTCTGGAGCTAGGAAAACCGGACCGCTAATGGGTTCTGGAGCTAGGAAAACTGGACCGCTAATGGGTTCTGGAGCTAGGGGATCTGGCTGGCTAGGAGCTGATGGAGGTGGTAGGAAAGGAAAAAGATCTTCCCTCTCCCCATAAAAGTAGTGCCATAACTGAGACTCCTCAATATGGGGAGCTCTAACTGTAGGGGGTGTAATACGTGGACCTGGTTTGAGTTTTTTTGAAGATGGGACTAGCTGTTTGTCATAGAGGTGACGACTGAGACTATGGGAGACACTGACCTGGTTATGGGGGAAGCTAAGGCTAGCGTCAGGCTGACCCGCCGGAGAGGAAGTGGAGGCGTCAGGCTGACCCGCCGGAGAGGAAGTGGAGGCGTCAGGCTGACCCGCCGGAGAGGAAGTGGAGGCGTCAGGCTGACCCGCCGGAGAGGAAGTGGAGGCGTCAGGCTGACCCGCCGGAGAGGAAGTGGAGGCGTCAGGCTGACCCGCCGGAGAGGAAGTGGAGGCGTCAGGCTGACCCGCCGGAGAGGGAGTGGAGGCGTCAGGCTGACCCGTCGGAGAGGGAGTGGAGGCATCAGGCTGACCCGCCGGAGAGGGAGTGGAGGCGTCAGGCTGACCCGCCGGAGAGGGAGTGGAGGCGTCAGGCTGACCCGCCGGAGAGGGAGTGGTGGCGTCAGGCTGACCCGCCGGAGAGGGAGTGGAGGCGTCAGGCTGACCCGCCGGAGAGGGAGTGGAGGCGTCAGGCTGACCCGCCGGAGAGGGAGTGGTGGCGTCAGGCTGACCCGCCGGAGAGGGAGTGGTGGCGTCAGGCTGACCCGCCGGAGAGGGAGAGGACTTCTTCCCCCGGCGACGCTTACGCCTGGAGGGAGCAGTTGGCAGGGGAGAAACAGAGGTTGAACAGGCAGCTGCTGCAGGTGATTGTGGTTGAGGTGGAGGAGGTTTATTTAATAGCTGGGCTAAAGCCGCCTTGTGGTTCCACTCCACCTCTTCTAAAATGTCCAGAAACCCTAGGGATGACAGGAGAGTTGTTTGGGGGGTTAAAATCTTCTTTAGGTCGGCTGCAGCACATACCCGTCTCCAGGGAGGGCTGAGAGTGGCAATCCTGTCCAGTGTGAACCGACAGTTCTCCAGGAAGTGTGTCATGCTTCCTGCCAAGTTTGACTCTGCTGGGTCCATGTTGTCTGGTTCCTTCTGTCAACAATGGGTGGTGAGGTTGCTTTGAGGACCCAGATGCAGAGACAAGAGAAGCAGGGATGTGTTCTGAAAGGTTTAATTGAAGACCAAAAAGCAGCCGAGGCAGAAATCCAGAAATCCAACTCAAAATATGAAACAAACCAAAATCATGGAGACATCAGGGTAGAGACGAGCCGAGTAGACAACACAGCAACAAGAAGGAACCAGAACTGAGTGACTGCAGAGGTGGAGTATTTAAGGACAACCAAACAAAGGATGGACTAACGAGCTGAATGGGGAGCAGGTGTGGGTGGAACTGGCAAGAGGGAATCCAAGGGAAAAGAAAACAATCACAAGGGGGCAACAGAGAGTAACTAAAGAATGCTTGAAGATAATGGAAAATAAAAACAAAACAACTGATAACAGAAAACTCAGAGTAACCACAAATAGGAACCATAACATATAGTCTGCAGAAAAATTAAAATAAAGAAAATATGTTTTTCTTAAAATCCAAATCATATTTTACATGTTCATCTTTGTATACTTCCTATAATCACTTTTTCATATATATTTTCCCATTTCTCAGAAAGTATTAAATTATATGTAAAATATGATTGAATCAAAAGTGCAATTATTTTAGGCAGCTGGTTGCTTTTTATACAGTTATTATTATTATTACTCCTATTATTATAGAAAAGGGGAAAAGATGTATAAGAAAATGAATACTTTAAGTTCAAATCGCCTCATTCTTCTTCTGTTTTTCCTCGTCTGTTCTATTTACATTGCACTGTCCATATAATCTGTAAAACTCCCTGCATAATTATAATAAAGCAATTTATTTGCATGAAACAAGTGGAGCAATATGACAATTGCCATACCGCTACACTTGTGAAAGTAAAATCTGTTGGGCTCTTTTTGGCATCGAGACAGTTATTCTTATTGCCACATTGCCAGACAGGACACTGTAAAAAAAAAAAAAAAGTTATTTTTATTTATTATTTACAACATCTGCTTGAGTGAATGACGGTAAAACTATAAACCCACAAACATGTGAACAGGGTTCCCAGCTGCTACTGTAAATTAGTCACTACATTTATGTTCTTCTCAAAAAAAAAAAAAATTAAGATTTCAGTTTAATCATCCTCTTCTGTTGCATGATGCCGAAATGTGTTTCATGTTGTTCTGTTAACTTCTAAATCATAAGGAATAATTTGACACTAATACAATATACCGGTATATAAAAATAAAATAACACTTGAGTGATGATAGTAATTAGCATCTTCAAATGCATCTATTTTATAAATTTTTTCACTTATAAAAAGCCTGAAGAAACGGATAAAATAAAAACAATAACATCTCTAGGGACTATGCAAATTCTGTGGTCTGCTTTGTGATTCAGAAATAAAGACTTGAGGTGGAAACTTTCAAAGGGGATCAGATCTTATTTTTCTTCTCCTGCACCAAACATGTTCTCTATCTCCATGTTGCTGCTGTTAGCAGCTGGATCAGGTAAGTCTTCCTGCATTTGTAACAATCATCAGATCTCTGTTTAAAATACTAATATTTTTTGTTTTTCTAGGTGTTAGGCCTGAAACACTGAGTCAGCCACCCTCTGCGTCTGTGCTGACTGGTGAACGTCTGGAGATTAGTTGTGAGGTTCCTTATTCTCTTAGCAGCTACGTTATAGTTTGGATCAGACAGCCTGCAGGGAAAGGACTGGAGTGGTTTAGCTTTAATAGCAAGTTCAGTTTCATGAAAGTCGGTATGCTTGACAGCACAGAGATTCTGCATGGACAGAACATGCAGCCTGAAGACTCTGCTGTGTATTATTGTGCAGGAACACACAGTGACACAGATCAGCAGAAGCCCTGAACAAAAACCTTCTGTGACTGAGCACCTGTTTTAGAAAGCAGAGTCCTCTAATCTCCAGAAAGAAATGTTTGCTTTATATTTTTTCATCACTAGTCGTTAATATATTAAAATATCCTCTTAATCAAAATATGTAGCTATTTTAAATATTTGTGTTAATAACCATGGTTGTCCTGAAGCTTAAATATAAAATTACAATAGTAAAATGTTAATGCCTGAGCGACAGCAAAAGCCTCTACTTAAGAAACTATTTTTCAATCCATATCCCACAATTCTCTTAGTTTTTCTACAGTATCTATTGTGTTTACATGTTCATTTACAGCAGTGGTAAGGGATAGTCTTCGCATAGACGTAGTTTAATACAACATTGTAATTCCCCACATGCTATGACCAGTTATATTTATGTTTCTTGTAAAGTAAAATTAAGGCTCAAATGTGTTCACATAAACAGGCGTGAAGTTTGAATAGCTGACCCAGCCAACCTCTGTAACTCTGAAGCCAAGTCAACCTCTGACCATCAGCTGTCAGGTATCTTATTCTGAAAGCAGCTTCTGGACAGTGTGGATCAGACCACCTGCAGGGAAGGGGAAAGGCTCCAATCTCTAGAGTGAATTAACCTGTGCAGATTGGACCTGGTTCAGTGGCTGGGCAGAACAAATACATGACAAAGAGGTGACTTGTTGAGTCCAGATCTTGTATTTTAGATTTCAGATTTTGTATTTTACATCATTTCATTGTCATTTGGATCTGTTATTAATTTCTTCTAAGACGTTTGGATGTCCTAGTTTAAAAGACAGCGTAGATTACTTAAAATAAAAAAAATTGTATATACATATATTCTTTCTCTTTCTGCCTTATTGATTACAAACTAGCATTTTCGACTACTATGTTTCAAAAAGGTTTTAAAAATAAAAAAATGTTTGTATTGTGGCAATTGAAAATTTACGCTAACACTGTTATAACTTTCTCCTTTCCATTTGTTTCCTCCTCCCCTCTACCAGCGCTGTAGGTTTTTGTGTCGCATCTTCTCACAGTGATCTTTGGGACAAAGATATTCACCAACACAAAAACCTCAGAGCGAATCATAGATATATGCCTTTGTAATTTGTAGAAAAAACACACAGAATACATACATATATCATCAAATATGAGTTAAGTACCTATTTTAACCTTTTTAATATACTGAATGTTTTAAAAGTTAAACAATCAGTACTTTTTCATCCACGGGGCGCAGTAATTATCTTGAGTCTATTTCAATGCTTTTATTTGACGGAAAATTTACATAATTTTTTATTTAGAGTCTTTACACCGGAATATCCATCTTATTAGAGTTTAACCATTTTTAAATCTCTTTTATTAATTTATTTCATTTTAGACATTTCGCTTTGCTTCCAGGAAGCTTTTTTAATTCTGTGCATACTACAGTATGACTTCAAAGCCGGGGAATCTTTTCTTTAAGCTTTTCAGTTACAGAACATGCACTGTTTTTTTAGCACCCAAAACCAGCTGTTCAGGGAAATAAATCTTTAAATGATTAATAAAAATAAGCGGGGTTAACATCTATTCAAATTAATATTCAGCATTTATTTAATGTCAAGAATAAGACATTTAATTTATGACATGTCAACAACAGTTGAACTGGAAAACTTTGCTGGTAGGTTTTCAGACTCAGCAGGTTGAAGTTCTAGTTACCTGAAAGAAAAACAAAATTATATAGTAAAGGCTATATTCTAAAGTACACTGAAATCTATTCGGTATCTACTTCTTTTGAAAATATGACATGATATAATGGCAAATTATATTTTGGCAAATTCATCTTTATCAGCAGAGGTTCTTCTGCAGTAACTTGATTTTTAACTGGATGATCTAAATTTATTTGCTGATGCTCAGATAAAAATATTCCCTCTTTGGCTTTAACCCTGAATATCAATCAGTCTAAAACTGCTTTCTGATTGAATTTGTTTTTGTACAGATGTGCCTCCAACGATATTCATCCTGAGTCCCCTGCAAGACTCCCGTGTACCCCCTAAAGACAGCAGATAATCTGGGTCCAGATGTCTGCCTGATCACAGTTTTCTGTCCGAAGGAGGGAGATGTGGTTATAAATGGGAAAGGTGGTCCAGTCAACGTGAGCGCTGAAGATCCAATTCTGTCAAAGGGCTACACCTACTACTTTGTTGCATTTAGCAATCAAACCATCCACTCCTGTGAGATGAATGGGACCTTCAGCAACAATGAAGCTGGTAACAAAGCCACAACTTTTTGGCTTTGAGAAAAACTGTAAGCTAAATATTTATTTTGATCATTTTCAGTCTCATAATTTATCTTAATTGATTTCTTCTTAATACAACATTATACCTTGAAACTCAAGCTGAACTTAAGAGGATAATTTATTATATCTGTCCGTATCAGAGTTTTTACTGAATTTAGGTCGGTGCATATCAAACATGTTTCCATCAGAACATGCATGAGGAAACATTTATCCAGGTAATTCTGAAAATTTTCTGTCTTAGGTTAGCTCTATCCCTGCAGTCAGCTTTTAGTGCCATGTTTTGTCTGAACTCTGTGTCTCTGCCCTCCAGAAAAAGCCAAGCTGAACTTCTACCTGCTGATGATGAACGCAGTCCGGATGGTGCCTTCAGTACTGTCCTCACCATAAGATGCCTGCTCTTCTGAACCTGAGCCCTTAAGGCCACTATATATACAGTCTCAAGAGCACCACCAACAAAGTGTTGTGAGGGGAGTCCATCCTTTTCTGGTGGAGAACTATAGGCATTGTCAGGCATACGTTGGCTAAATCGTCAAGGTGTGACAGGGGCTTAGCCCCTTGAACCCTACGGACCCACCGGCGGGTCCAGCTGTTACATGACCTCGTAATTTTACCAAACCCCCAGTATTGATGTAAAAAACATATTTGGCACAGTTTGGTGACATTTATGGATAAATGTGCCAAAATGGCCTCTCCGCCTAAGAAATTTCTCACTAATACCATTCTAAAATAAATATGATTCATCTGATTGAGTCCACATTTTGTATATTTTTACACAACATTTAGATCTAAAACTCTGTACTACTTTTTTGTGCTATAAATAATATTTTGGTAGTGTTATGCAATGTTTATTTCAAAGAAAATTTTGGCGAGGTTCAAAAAATGCAAAATATTTTGTATTTTGTCCCTAACATTTCAGGCAGGGTCAAAGCTACAATGGTGGTGACACCAGATAACCATTCTATGACATCTTACCTTTACAGACGTACCAAAAGTTTCTTCTTAAATCTAATAGCTGTGAGGCTATAAGTTATTTACTTTTGTGTGTTTTTGTCAGGCTAAAATTTATTTATACCCCCTTAGGGTGTAAGAGGTTAACTTGTCAGTTTCACCAGGATTTGTCAAATACATAACAGAGGTAACTACAGTACAGATGCTATACAAGCAAATGGCTAATATGTGGCTTTTCCATTTTGCCATACAGATGCAGATAATAGTAGACAACAATAGAATTTTCTAATGTTGGTATTACATAAAATTTTTTTTGAATAAATGTCATTTCATAGATTTAAAAGGATAAAATTTGAATACTATTTGAATTAGGAGTTTTAACAATTACAAATTCTAGACAGTGACCTTAATATCGAACAACCAATTAATGGATATTACAGGTGGATAAGTTATGATTTCATCAAGCAACTTTTGAGAGCATTCATAATTTTACCCTTATAGGATGTGGTTCTGTGCAAAAATTGTTTATCTGCAGCCCTGCTATCTAATTTTTTATGGAAACATTTTTAACAGAAATGTTACATGTTAACATCTGATGACCTCTCTTTGTGAAGCCAAGCCAGTTAGTCATCACTTTTCAATTTACTGGGTTATTGGACGGCTTGGATCAGACAGCTTCCGAGATAATGACTGCTTTGACTACGATGTAACAGAGGTTACGTTTCGGAACACTGTTTTTAAATGGACAGAATATAAAGACTGGAGACTCTGCTGTGCATTACTGTCCTAGACAGTCCTCAGTGAAACAAACAAGTACCAGAGGTATACAGGATTAAAACAATGTAATGTAACGCCCCCAATTGAATTTTTATGCTTTGATGTAAACATAATGTGGCAAGAGTAGGAGGAATTGAAAGATGTTTTTGGAAAATTTTTGTTTTCAATAGGTTGCTCAACAACGCCACCCTGGAAATTTCACCCAGGCACACAAGTTTAATTATGCAGAAGGTAAAACATCTGAGAAGGCATCAGAATGTAGAAAAATTTTAAATTCTTTCTAAAATACTGTTCTTAGAAGCCAATTCTTAAAAAAAAAATGAAAACCAAAAACAAAAGAAAACTGCAGTGGCCTAGGTTGCCGGCCGAAGGAGCGCTATGGGGTAGACATGCAGCGAGATAACCCAAACCCAGGAATCACGGCACACAAAAGAGGTAGACACCATCACCACACCGACGCCAGACCTCAGCAACTGCAAACAGAAACACAGTTAAACACAACTACTTTAAACACAACAAAATAAACAAACAATATTTCAGAAATAAATCTTCAAGTTGAGAATCAAAACATTTGTAAGCAAAATAAAAAAAAAGAAACTTGGAAAGAAACAAACTAATCGATGTAGAAAGAAAATAAAAAAAAATAAAAAATCCATCAAGGCTGGGTGTGGTCCTGCCCCGCAACGATCTGTGGCATACTGGGTACGCCGAGGCCACACCCCAAATGCTGCGTCAGAACAGTCCAGGTTTAAAGCAGGTACGCCGCCGAATCCAGGTAAAGAGACAAGGGCGTCCATTAAAAAGATCCAAAAAAACAAGAGAACAGAGCAGCAGTGGTCCAAAGATGAGATGGACCTAAGAAAAATAATCACTGAGCAACCATGGGAACAAACTGAACTTACAATGAGCATTGCAATCTCACCTTTTAGTCCACCCAACCGCACGCTCTCGCACACACACACTGGCGATGAGGACGAGGAGAGCGGTAGCTGGCGCGTTACCTATTGTCACAATTGCGCTTAGATTTAATCAGTAATCTACGGAAGTGAGGAGAGCAGGAGAAACACCTACCACCAGCAATCGGAGCAGTTGTAGGAGTTGCGATCCGTTGCCTTTTTTTCTTAGTCAAAAACCCACGGGGCGCGGGCCACACGGTGATGATACACAGCTGACACATGTCAAACTGAGCACAGCGGCCCTTTATATACCCCGCCCACTTTACCCGGCTGGAGCTCCACAACAGCAAATAATCAGTATGGAAATACTAACATTTCCATACCACTACAATAAATAACAAATTAACTATGTTGTTAAGAAAAGTCTGGGTCTGACCTACCTACCTTCCTTTGCCAAAGGAAGACCTTTTTTTTAATTTACATTGCCCCCTTTTTAGACCGGCAGGGGGAGGTATATGCAAACTTTTTCTCTTTCATAAGCAAATCACAGGGAACCTTAATGATATATGAACAGTAATAGCAAAAATATTTCACAGCTTTCTCAGCTACTCTAATCACTATGTTAACTAAAGACACAGTTATTGTCTGGAGTTTATTCTCTGTAGTTATAATTCAAGGTGAGATATTGACTTTAGGCAAGAATATATATATATATATATATATATATATATATATATATATATATATATATATATATATATATATATATATATATATATATATATATATATATATATATGTATATTTTAGGGCTGTCAGTTTACGCGTTATTAACGCGTTAACTGCTTTAGACTATAACGGCGACATTTTTTTTTAACGCACGTTAATCGCGCATCAAAATAAACGCACCGTTCGCTTGTGTTCTTTATTTTTCCGCAGCGCTCTCTGTACTGTTTGTTGTACCCACAGCGCTTTCCGTAGCTTCAGGAATGCTAAGTTTGCACGAGAGTCCGCAGCATAACAGACCCATGCTTTGAATGGGCAAAAATGGCCAGCAGACAAGGTATCCTGAATGATGCGTTTCTTTTTTAAGTTATGCCAGAAGGTTCTCTTGACAAAACCCAAGTCGTGTGTCTATGTTGTCCAGAAGAAACGAGCTTCTCACTGGCTTAGTGCCAACAAGACAAAGAAATGAACTAAGTCATGTGGACTGCGCTGCTGCTGCACTTCCTATTCAGACCAAAGGAATATTAAACCATTTTGAAAATGTTCTACATGTAAAATGTTATGTTGCTGAGATGACTGCAAAGCCCAGTTATTGTAATTTCGTCTGATTTATTTATTATTTTTGTGAGTAAATTCATTTCATTTTAATTAAGTCTGTATTTCATAACGGAATGTGCCCTTTATTTTAACATCTTTATTTTTGTTCTATGTTTGAGAAAAAACGTAAGCTTACGGAGTACTTTGAAGTACTGTTTACTGTTCTGTAGTTTTGTAAAGTTTTGATGGAAGCATAACGCCTAATTTAAAATTTAGAATTTAAACCAGGATATTTTTATTCTAGTTTCTTAAAAGTGCTTGAAAAATTATGCTAATGAAAAAAAAAATTTGTATAAGCATGTGTTTTTTACATTATTGCACAACTGCATTTTTAAATGGCCAAATAAAATAAATAAAATAAAAAGATAAAATATGCGATTAATCTCAAGTTAACTGTTGATAATATGCGATTAATCGCGATTAAAATTTTTAATAGTTTGACAGCACTAATATATATATATATATATATATATATATATATATATATATATATATATATATATATATATATATATATATATATATATATATATATATATATATATATATATATATATATATATATATATTCAAGCTCCAACCAGAAAAGGACACACAATTTTTAAGACTTACTAAGTAGGAAATACTCAAAACTCGGCCTAAATAACCTGCTACATGCTTGCAGTATTTTTGTAGTTATTTCTGTTAGTGCTTAAGAGAACTTAGAGCTGAACACAAGCCAGAAGACTGTAACTTTCTCTCTTGTCCGACTTGTGGAAAAAAATAGAGGGGGCGGGTCTATGCCACCTCTTCCTTCTATAAAACAGAACAATCGACCTCCTGACGGCAATTTCTGACTGTACATCTTCAAAACTTTGAAAATATCTAGGAAACAATCCTTAAAGGCTTATATTAATGTTTTATGTATAGAATGGAGAGAACAGTCATTTTGAGTTTGCTTTCAATAATTTGTTTTCGTGGTGAGAATTTTATCTCTTTCAACATTTATGAGAGGATTTAAGGTTTGAGGACTAACATATTTTATCTTACAGGAGTCTTCTGTGAGATTAAACTGGAACAATCTCCCTCTGAGGTAAAAAGACCTGGAGAGACATTTAAAATGTCTTGTGTCATGTCTGGTTTTGACATGACAGAATATTTCATTCACTGGATAAAACAGAAACCAGGGAAAGCTCTGGAATGGGTTGGAAGGATGGATGCTGGTTCAAACTCAGCAATCTATGGAAGCTCCTTTCAAGGCCGTTTCACTTTGACTGAAAATGTCCCCAGCAACACCCAGTACCTCGAGATCAGGAGCCTGACAGCAGAGGATTCTGCTGTTTACTTCTGTGCTAGAGAGACACAGTGACTGAAAGCAGTGGAGTAGCTGCACAAAAACTATTACAGATAAGAAACAATGTGATCACAAAGACTTCTGCTTTCTAAGAACCATCAAATACTGCT